TCTGACAAGCCCTTTGCACAACTCCTGCTTTTGGGATGCAAAGTTAGACTGCCAGGGAGGAAATTACGGGCAAGGAAAAGTGCTAAAGTTTTCCCTCAAATCTGGAGCTTGTGGAGGAGAATTAAAGGAAGAGGGCAAATAAAATCTGTATTGTAAGTGGTAATGGAAGTATCAGACCTATACATTTATTAACACATTATTCTAGCATTTTGTAAGCAAACTGATAATGCGCTATTAGCAAGTTTAGCCCAGAATTGAATATTAGCTTAATTTATAAACTCTTTTATCATTTATTTCTCCTACTGTTACATTTTCTCCAGTTTGAAAACAGAACACTTTTAAATGTCAAATTATGTTATAAACTATATATAGATTCTTTAATGACAAATTTGTTAAGAGGATGTGTCAATATTTATTATCTGTGAGTTTGCATTTTGTAACTTCTTGTGATGTTTAACTGCTGCTATTATTATGATGCAACAAAATCACTTGGATCCTGAATACTTTTGACAGAAAATACTTGAATTCTGAAAACTCTTTACTCATTCACAGAAATCTTAGATCTGAAAAGAATGTTAGAATTAATCCAGTTACATATGCTCCAATTTGATCTATTCAGAAAGCAGAAACCTAGAAAATTGAGTGACTTTCTCAAATATCTCAGGTAGTTGTACATTTCAAGCTGGTCTTCTGCTCCCAGGTTGGAGTGGTTTCTATTATTAATTAGATATCCCATCATCTTTTAAAAGGTTTGTAGTTATATGACAGAATTTCTACAAAGGAAAAATGCTACATTTAAAAAAAAGCATTAGTGATGCTGAAACTAATATAAACATACTTATTACTTACAATAATTATCAAAACAATCAACTTGATAGTGTAATTCTGGCAATTCTCAGGAAAAGTAAAGTTTTGAATGTAAACTAGAACCTTGGTGGAATTTTGTCTGTGAATTGAACTTGAAGGAAAGGGTACATAAAAGTTTTCTGGGTAAATTTTCAGCATTATAACACAAGCAGATTGCCATGTCTATTAAAGAGATTCAGGAAGAAAGGATGCAAGAGACTTCAGGAATTTTTTTCTGCTTGGGTTCTAAACATTCATGAAAGGAAACTTGCCTCAATAGTTCCCTGAATTTAGTACGTGGAACTTCATAGTCTGCTCTGGCCTCTTTAACTCTCTTTTCAAATGAAGCAATTCTTTGTATACAGAAAGAGTAAGAATTCTGGTGGGAGGTTGTTGAAAATACATGCATACATACACATTATTATTTATAACATATATATATATATATGTATATACATATGTGGAAGACTCCTCTTCCCATTCCTGTCCTCTTAGCGAGAAATCCTCTCTTCAGAAACAACACTTTTCACCACTTCCTTGTGTAGCCTTCCAGGTATAATCTATTTATATTTAAGCAATTGTGTAAATATTCATTTAAAAACACAAGTACTATACACACTGTTCTGAATCTGTCTTTTAAATAAACTTACAATGAATGTATCGTGGAGATTGTTCCATATCAACACATTTTAATGGTTGCATCATATTAGCACTCCATGAAGGAATATAATGTTTAATATTGCATTCCATCACGTGAAATATTAGTGTGATGCTATTTACTAATTATTTTAGTTTTATTTATGGTATTTATTAATAACATTTTAATATATAACCAGACCTCCACTGATATTTTAAGTTGCTTACCATTTTTTGCTTTGTCAGCCATGCTTAAAACTATGTCATTTGAACATGTCTGAGTTTATCTGTAGTGAGAAAGATCACTAGGTTGAAGTGTATGTATGTCTGTAATTTTGATAGGTTTTCCTAAAATGGTCTTTATTTACATCTCTATGCCCTCAGTAGTACTACAATGTGTTTATGAAACTTTTTGATATTTACTAATAGGTGAAAAATATTATCCCATGTAGTTGTAATTTGCATTGCTCTAATTAGAGTGACATTGATCATTTTTTCATATGCTCAAGAGTCATTTGCATTTCCATTTCGGTGAGCCATCTGTTCATCTCTTTTTTGTTTTCAGTCTTATTAATATTGACTGTAAGAAGCTTTTTGTATCAAGATTATAAGCACAAAGTTCCCACTTGTTGTCCTAGTGCTGTTGCAGTTAATCATTTGATTAATCATTTGATTCATCTAGAGTTTGTTGAAATAAAAGGGGTAAAGTAGGGAGTCATCCTCTGTTTGTTTCAGGTGGCTCTCCAGTTTTCTCAAACTGTTTACTAACCTTACACCTTTTCCCTGTTGATTTGAAATGCCAGCTTTACTGCATACTTGGTTTCCAGGGGTGTACATCCTTGACTGATTCCCCATCTTGGTCATCTGTTCCGACCTTCCCTGAATCCACCACACTTCTGTGTGATGTTCTGATGATGCCCAAGGTAACTGGCTACCCTCACAGCTTGTCTTTTTTGAGAGATACCTTGCTATTATTGCATTGTTATTTTACTATGTGAACTTTAGAATCAACTTGTATAATAACCCAGCAAATTAAAAAAATAGCCCTAGAAGTATTTATTTTTGATTGGGAGTGCATAGCTTAGAGAGAATTGACACATTTTTGATGTTGTCTCCTTACTTAAAATCATGGAATATTTTTTCGACCGTTTAAACTTTTCTTTTGCTTAGGAGCATTTTAAAGTGTTTTTCATATAAACTTTGCATATTAAAATTTTCTAGATATTTTACTTTTGTTATTATAGTGCATCTTCTGTTGTTTTATTTTGCTTGTGTGTTTGTTTGTGTTTGTGAAGGCTATTGTCTCAGTATTTAAATTTTCTATCCAGTACTTTTTTATATTTGTAATAGTTTTTCTGTTGATATTTTTGAGGTTTCCAGGAAAATAATCATCTTATGTGAATAATAATAATTCTTTTTCTTTTCTAATTCTTATTTCCTTTCCTTATCTCATGCCATCAGTTAGTAGCTCTTGGACAATAATAGTAATGGTGGTGATGGATTATCTTGACTTTAATGGTAATATTTCTAGTCATTCATTATTTAACAATAAAAGGATTTTCTCTCATGTGTGTATGCATGTGTGTGTGCACTTATGTAAGGAAATAGCCAGCTATTCTTTTATTAAGCAATTGCCTTAAGAATGAAAAAAAGTGTTCTGAAACTAATTTGTGGTGATGATGTACCACTTGGTAAAGTTACTAGAGATCACTGAATTGTACTTCAAATAGGTGAGTTCTCTGATGTTGTAAAAGATATACCTCAATAAAGTTGTTTTAAAAAGGAATGAAGTATTTAATCAAATACCTTTTAAATATCTATAGAGTTGATCACATGCTATTCCATTTTTACTCTCTATAGTGAATTGTTTTAATAATACAAAACATTTATATTCCTAGAATAAAGCCGACTTAGTCATAGTATGTTGAACTTTTTATGTACTGCTCAATTCTGTTTTCTAGCTTTTAAACTTAGGATGTACATCAGTATTTAGAAGGGAGATTCAGATGTAGTTTTCCAGTGTATATCCTTTGTTGGGCAGTGGTATCTATATTATACTTTGCAGTTTAAATAAGGATTTGGAAACTTTCCTTCTTTTATATGGTTAGGAATAGTTTAAGTATTATCATAATTTTCCCTTTAAAGTGTCTTAGAATTCCCCTCTGAAACTAGCCATCTAGACCTGTTTTTATTTATGTATTTATTTACTGGAAGGGCAGTCAGGAAGGTAGCTCTTTGACTTCTATTTCATTATAGTATTGACCCATTTTTTTATGAAGTGTGGTTCTGGAAGTGTTTATGTTACATTATTTCATTATTTACTGAACATCTTCAGTTCATACTGACTGAGCCCCTCCTAATAAAGGGTGAAGTGATCTGCTACTACTGAGTTATTATTTTTGAGAGCAGTTAGTCTTATAATCAGTGTTTAATGGTATTCGACAATTATGTCTATCTTTCCTAGATTTAGACATTAAGGACTGTTCTGTATTTTGTTGTTGAGATGGTGATACTGTAAACCATGCTATCTGTTTACATTGCTCTGTAGACCATTATTATGGTCATGGGTCAACTTTGCCAAGAGAGCCCCGTTTACTGCTGGTTGTGCCAGATACAGTGTCAGTCCGTAACAGACACAATTGACTTACTTCTGTTTTGTACATTGTAGCTGTCAATTATTCTAGTGAATAAAATATTTGTTTACTATTGTAACTCCTGGGGGGAAAATACCAGGGTAAAATATCTTTGAAAGGGAAATCAGTCAAAGGGAGAAATAAAGTGGAAGAAACCCCTTTATTTCTTACAAGAAGTCCGCTTCTGCTCCCCCCGTGTCTCTCGCGACCAGGCTGCCGAAGAAGAGGCCCCCACCCAACCACCCAACCTCTCTGGTCCTGATAAGCCCTGACTCGCCAATGTAATTAGATATTGATGTGGAAATGAATACTTCTTTTCACCCCTTGGAAACACCTATTGTATGGAGATGCACTAAAGCCTGGCGAGAGATTCTGGAAATATTGCAATTTTACCCACAACTATCTACTATGTGTTTCTTTGTGAAAAATATAAGAGACATGTTCCAAAAGACAATATATGTTCTGCAAAATTGAATTAAATACTTGAAATATTATTGTAAAGATACGTACTCAAATATATTATAGAATACAGTTTTACATACTTGTCTGAGGGTGAATGAATGACTTTGAAATAATTTTTAGATAGAGTGAAAAGTAAATAATGATTCTGTTACCCTTATACCTGGCCTGAATTTACAAATTAACATAGAGAGCCAAAACTGTTGAAGCAGTATTTTTGCTTTTCCTTGTGAATCGGACTAATATGCTAGGAAATGGCTATCACAATACTTTAGTTATAGCAGTACTAAAAATGATGGTGTTGATCTAAATTTAGATTATAATAGTTATTTTAAAACATGTTCAGAAAATGTGCTGATAGTTGACAATACTATATTGGATTATATTGAAGATATATTGACAAAATATTCCTTCCTTTTCTCATAGATTTATCTAAAAACAGACTGGTTGAAGTCCCAATGGAATTGTGCCATTTTGTATCACTGGAAATTCTTAATTTGTATCATAATTGTATCAAAGTCATTCCTGAGGCCATCATTAATTTGCAGATGCTGACTTACTTAAACTTAAGGTAAGTAGACTATAATCAGACTCAATGAAAAAAAAATAATGCTTTCATTTCTGTCAGTTTTTTCCCCCTCTTTGCAATTCCTGATCACCCTTTGAAGTAAATCACACAAAGGTTCTTTAAGAAATATCTTTCCTAATACATTTGTAATGCTGTTTATACTGTTTTTCGTGTGAGACTTCTCTGAATGTCAAGATGAAAAGGTGTTTAAAAAAAAATTTATGTGGCATCATTTATACTTTTTGTCTCTTTGGTCCTTGGGAAGTTGGGAGCACGTTATCTTCAGGCATTGGGTAGGCTTCAGAGGAGGAAGGCAAAAAGAAGTGAAAAAGAACTTGGGGGTGGGACAAATTGGGGCCCTGCTGATCTTTGGGCATTGCTTGTGCCATTGAATTTGCTGCCTGGCACTGACTGAACCTGTTCTCTTGAGGCCATTTGAGAAAATTCAGGGGCACTGAGCAATTCGAGCAAGATAGGAAGTTTGCTGTCTTTGTAGACCATTAAATTAGGTCAGTGTTGGCTGAGGATCGCTCAGTGGTCTGTATTGACTCTCTGATTATGCATAGCACAACGTTAACACATTAATGCCCGTGAGTAGCTCTGAAGTTAAGAAATCAGCTATTTATGCTATTTTAGGCTAGGTCTTAGACTTTGCTATGTAATCGTCAACTGTTTTGGCCAGATTTTGGCTCCTCATCTCCTAAAACTTTGACTCACATCTGGGATGTCAGGAAAGAGACTGGAGCTGTTGTGTCAAATTTAATTTGTACTATTAAAAGAAAGGCTTCAAAGTTTAAGCCTGGTCATAACCTTCACTCATGCCAATCACAGGACCTTGGTGTGCAAAGAGTAGCACCTGATTAGCAAGGCTTGTGCTATGTAACCGATACACCAAACTTTGAAGTGCAAAATTCCCAATAAACCAGGTACAGCATTAACTTGGGATAGATAATGGCATCAGTTAAAGTGATTTTTAGTTGGTCTCTAAGAGTTAGGGATCTTCTCCTGCTTTCTCTGCAGTTAAAAATGGGTTTCCCTTGCATTTCATTAGGAGTTCATATCTTCCTTGGGAGTGAAAAAAAAGTTCTAGTCATATTTTAAGTAGTTTGTAAGTACTTCTTTTTGGTAAATTAGGTGGAGGTTGCTATTGGCATAATCTAAAGGCTCATGTATCTAACCTTCACTGCTCCAGGTTTCTAGTTCATGTGACCATTTTGAGTTTTCTTGTGTAATGATAGTTCAAGCTGTTTCTGTTATAGCAGAATGTTAATTACTTTGGAATTGCCTGACAGAGCCAGCATAGTGGTGTCTACAGAATTTAGTTCACTGTCTCCCTAAGGCAGCTGTCCTTTAATCCCAGCTGCATAGGGGAAATATCCCAAGAGCATATGTAGTTGGTCTCTTTACTTACCTACTCCTGTCCTGCTGTGACATTTTCACTTCTACTAGTCCTTCATGCTACAATAGATTGAATTTTGCATTGAAGTCCACACACTCTGAGGAACTTTTGGATATAGCTGACATGTCTCCTCTGGTATTATATAAACTCTGCAAACACTACAATTCCACAAACACTAGATAATCTAATCTTAAAATTTGTGTTATGCTTTAAAAGCATTAATAAAATTGGTTTGGTATGATGCATCTTCATGTTGAGCCTAGTTGAGAGTAGACTAATATTGCTAACTTCAGGTGGTAGGAAAAAATATATTGGAATATGATGTTAAGTTATTTAGGGCAAGAACAGGGAGAAGTCATTGAGACAGGTTGACTGAAGAGAACCGTGTGGATATATTACAGACAGAGTTTTGTGATGGATTGCTAGGTAACAGAATGGAGAAAGAAAGAAAGGGAGTGTTTAACACCTAACTCTCTAAACTTTATTTTTTGTCTGTAATTGCTTAATTTCCTGTTTGCTTCTATCTTTTCTCCCATTTCTATGGGTTATTTTTATTTTGTTTGCTTTTTTTTTTATTTACATCTCTTTCTTTAATATTTCCATGTCTTAAGATACTCTGTAGTGTTGAATCCTGACACTTTAAGGGAATTGATCATACATGGTGAAAATTAAGGAAAAGTGTGTCTTACTTTTCAGAGATGTTGTGTCAGGGTATATGAAAAATATATGTACATCCTCTAAACACTTCCAGAGCCAGGTACTATACATACTATATATATATATAGTATATATATATATATAATTTTTGATACCTTCTTTTGAATTTACTTTATAAATATAAATGTGTAACTTAAAATAATAACATAGGGCAAGCTTTGAAGTGACAAAAAAGATGGTCATGTTGTTTATTCAATTATAAGCCCTTAACAGCCTGTTTGATTTATTGGGTTTAGTTGACACATGTCTTAAGAAGAGCACCCTTGGGATTACTTCCCTGTTTGGGAGTGATTTGAGACTGAAATGTTGTATCTGCCTAAAAGATTTATCAGTAGCTTGTGAAATAGTAAATGACTGTCACATCTGTTTATTTACAAATATGTAATAAGATCTAGAAAATAACAGTAGAATCTAATTAAGTTGTCTGTCTTCCAAGGTTCTGAGTAATATTCACATGATAGTATTGTCTGGGTGAGTTCTTCCTGTCCTTGAACTACCACCCCATTCCCAGCCACCCTGAAGCTGGCAGCCAGGAAGAAATGGAGAATCTTGTACAATGTGTGATCCTGATATATGCCCCCTCCACAGCAGGCAGGGCTGGGCTTTGTGGCCTTTCCATGTCTTTTCTCCCCCTTTATGAAAATTAAGTCAATAAAGTAAAATACATTCCTTCATAGGTATGAAGAGGCAGGGTGAACTCCTGTTGGCTTTTGTCTTTTGGAGGAGAGGCTGCCAGTCCATTTACTTGAAAAAGAAGTGAGGGGCTCAGGATGCTGCAAACATCCTGCCTTTTGAAAGAACTACGGAGTTACCTTCAGTCCCATTTTTTTCCCTCTGTGATAGTTGTAATATTATGCCAAGGAAAGAAGCTTATGTTCTACACAGAAGTGTGTAATCAAATCACAACATTATCACCAGTTTAGGTGTATTAGGGAAGCCTTTATAAATTTCAGAACATTAAACAAATACTGTAAGTTACTTTTGAGCACAAATAAGGTAGGCTATATCAAATATAGCATTTTCTGAAACAGCGTTAACAAACGGGCAAGTGTCAAGTTCATCAGGTTTTGTAAATAAGTACTCGAAAACTCTTTTCTGTAGTAATAGGGTTTTGCCCCTTATTTCTATTAACTGCGAATAAAAAGTTATTAGATAAAACAGTGCAGGGAAGCTGCTTTTCAAATTTTCACAGATTTCATGTTTCTATACTTAAACATGGTCTTGTTGTAGTTTTAAGTTTTTTTCTTTTTTTTGAGTAAATCACATGTGGAAATTACTAATTTTGTACATTTCAAAGTAGGGGAGATGCTTTTGAGGCTATTTTGAATTTATGGGAAACATCCAAATTGATTACACCCCTTGGGGATATACTGAGTCTCCTAGCAGAGTAAACAGCCATAAATATTTGATGGTGAAATGGTGACAGTGAAGATGGTGGTGGTGGTGGTGGTGGTGGTGATGTTATCGCCTACCCAGCTCTTAGCTGGCAGGAGCTCTCAGCAATGTTACTGTTAAATGTCAAATGGCTACTTAGTGCCAGCAACCCAATTTGTCTTAGACTAGAGATGGATTTCATTAGCACATGCAAAACAAAACAAAACAAAACAAAACAGAACTTCACTGTGAAATGCAGTTAAAAACACCTAAGTGTTTTCTCCATTTTCTCACATGGTAGAAATGTCTTGTTTGTGGAAAATGTTAATTTATTGCTGTTTATGTAGCCTGTGTGTGAAGGATCTCGGCTTTTAATCTTTGCTTCGTGGTGTTCACAACAAAAGGTTATGTTAGTTGAGTATAGGTGCCACTGTGTCTCTTCCTGTTATAAAATGTCTTAATCCAAGAAACGTGGCCAAGAACAATCAAAATGATTAAGCAAGACATGTTTCCATTTAGGAACAAACACTTTGAACTTGAGTTACACAGGAAAGTCTCACAAAATTTAAAATCTATTTTAAGTTGTTGGAGAGGTTCTTGTTAATGAGACTCATGAAGAAAATGACTTTAGGAAAATAGAATAATCCAGAGGAGCAAAACTGTGAGTCACTGTAAGAGTGCTGTGAATCTAAGAATAGGGACCTTAGCCTAAAGGCTTCATCTCAGAGGTTCAGGAATAGAAGCTGCCTAGAAATGCAAGTTCTTTACAGCATTTGATCGTATTGATTCTAGAACTCTTGGTGTGTGGTTTCACTTCCTGAGGGCAAAACACATGGAACCAAGACCTGGTTTATTCATCAGAAGACTGTCTGTCTAGCAAGCCACTGGGAGTAGTTTCTGAAGCATTGCCTGGAGAGAAGAGGACAGTCTCTTGAACGAAGTGTTACCACTCCATAAAAGGGATCCCTTTGGGCTGCTTTTCTTGAAGCTTGGCATTCTTTTTGGCTGCTAAACAATGTGCAGAATGAGCCCAGTCCCCAATGGCCATATAACCTGTTTGCCCACATTCCTTTGGGGGGGTCATTCTGAGAAATAATGTTTAATCTTTATTTGAAGGAGAAGCATCCTGCATGCTACGGTTGCCTTAGCACAGATTCTGTACCTTTGTTGTGAACTAAAATGTTTCTAAGAATTTGAATTTATCTCTGAGAAATGCACCCTTGAAAGTCTTAATTGTAAGATCACATTTTTTACTTTTTAGAAAACTGAGGAAATTGATGATGTCTCCCTAAACTGGAAAAAGGGAGGGGTTTTGTTCAATCAAGACACACTCATATCCCACATCCTTTTATGAAGATCTTACCTCATTCAAAGAGAATGAAAGGAAAGGAGCGACACATAGCAGCAATTCACCGGAGAGTTCTGCTTTATTAGGGAAAGGTGCTGGGTTATATAGGAAGGGGCATGAATTGATTGAGGTGTCACTTCTACGGGGCTGGTGGCTGTTGGCTAG